TTCAACCCGGAGGGCAGCCTGGCTCCTGTGCCCTCTGCCCATGCCAACATCTCCTGCTCTCCTAGCCCAAGCCTAGGGGACACAGCTGGGCAGAGCATACAGGCATTACATCGCTGCACAGCACAAAATAAACACAGGGGAAGAAAAAGATCCAGCACTGCGGACTTATTGAATTAAACATTATTGTGGCTAAAGCAATCAATACAGCATTGATTGCATTATCTGTATTAATATTTAATTCAATTAAAAGGCCCCCTTTTTTAAAAAAAAAAAAACAAAACAAAACAAAACTGTTCCTTTAGATCTTTTATGCCGCAGAAAAGAAGTTGAATTTTGCTAGAGACCATGAATTCCAGCTGGACTGGAATACAGCTGATCTGGGTTTCCCCTGGCATCAGCTGTTCAAAGCTGACCCTTCCAGCAGAGCAGGAGAGACCCATTTCCCTGATCAGGCTGCAAGCAGCACCCAGTACAAACCCCCGCAGAGACACCGTAATGCCCTCAGGGGAAAATGGAGTGCACAGCAATTAGAAAGTTCCAGTTCGGCGCCCTTCATATCGCAACTGAGCCCCAGCTGATCACTGCCAAGAGGCAGCCTCACACTTCCTCCCACTACCAAATACTTTTTTTGACTCCTCTGAGAATTACTAGTTTGCTAAACTAGTAGAAAACTAGCTCCAGCACCACACTAGTTGAAGAAATATGTAAATTTTTATCAGTTCAGCAAGCTGCGGGAGACAGCCAGCTTAGCCATTGCTTCACATCCCATTTTTTAATATAGATTTTAACCCCATTCTCATTGTGTATCTGTTTAGCTCATGGGCTTGCAAAGGTAAGCACTGCTCGTTCTTGTGCAGCCCTGAGCACAGCACTGCTCTCCAGCGTGCTCACCGCAACTGAATAGACATGGCCCCAGAGTAAACCCAGACCGGGGAAAGGGCTGCTGTGCCTTACAGCTGTGCCCATCAGGGAGGAAACCTTTCTGCTTTTTCAAACACACTTGGACGTCCGGGGCAGATATCGTACCGCAGCTAAGCGTGGCATCCCACAGTTAATCTCTCCCAGCCGCGGCGCACCGCGTTTCCAGCGGCCACCGGAGCGAGACATCGCGACCCCCGCTGCATAACAAACCGCGGGTACCAGCCGTCCCGTTGCCTGTCACTGCCTCAGCATCTCCTCGTGGTGAGTGACACCGGCATCTCCAACACGCAGCAGGAGCTGACGGTTTTCTGCTACTTCATCAGGCCAGACCTCCTGCCAGGAATCAAATTGAAGCACAGAAAAAAAAAAAACATCATCTCCATCTGAAGAAAAAAAAAAAAAACAAAAACAAAAAAAAAACCCAACAACAAAAAAACACGGCAGAGGTGGGAACCTTCCTCCCCTTCCCCCATCTGATTACATACAAAATGTTCTTCAGCTTTTAAGGGCAATTTAACACTAGTTAAATTACCGTTAATTTAAATCAAACAAGTCTGAAAAGACAGAACATGTTGCACTGCTATTAAAACCAGCTGAATCTTCATTTGTTCCATCCAAGACACAACCGCCCATTTCCTAGCCAATACTATCTGGCTGTCCAAAGATCTCTTTCTGCATTTTTTAAGCTGATACTTAAGCCTGCTTTGTTGGCTTTGGCAACACAGTGCGGTCTACTTTGGTTACTGGAGAGGAAGATTCAAACCTTTCCATCAAGCTGCTTTTTTTTTGAAAAGCATGGGAGAAAGTCAGATGGGGTCAAACTGATTCACACCAATTAATCTGAGATCAAATTCACCCCATTTCCAAGAAAAATAGGTGATCCTCCAGCACTGAAGTGCAAAATAGGTGAGGGAAGAAAAAAGAAAACCTTTGCTCTACTGTGTTTCATAGACCTGTCCCCAACAAGATCCCAAGACGCTGCTCTCCAGGCTTTGCTGGCAGGCCACAACAGACACTCCTGCCCAGCAGCTCTACTGGCAGTGCAGCACTGGCAGTTATAAACGGATTTTTTTTTTTTTCCCCCCTTCCCTCTACCACCCTGACAGTGAAGCTAGCCCACGTGTATGAAAAGCAGCACAGAAAGCACGGGCAGTGGGACCAGATGATCCCCACCACTTTTACGTGTTTTCTCCAAATGCTACACTCCAATGTGTAAGTTTTACAGCAGTCTGTGGCCTCCATATAGACTTCTTTGTCCTGAGCAGAGTATTTGCAAGAGCTTCTTTAGCCAAAGTACTGATTTGCTGGGAGACTGCAACATAAAACAACTGCTCCAGATTACGTTTGGTCTTAAATGAGACATTGGACCTAGGCAGGGAATACAACCAGCTTCAACTCCCTGCCTAGAATTATTCCCTTCCTTGAATGGTTTCTTTTCAATCACTCCTGCTCCTTCTGTAAGCCCTGCACAGGCTGATCACGGATAACTGTGTGTTGGGTCCTACAGAGCCAGCCAGGTCCAACTTCACCTCAGACACTTGTGATGGAGCAGAAGAGAGGGGCTTTAGTTCAAGCCTAGCAAAGGCTGTGTAGGAGCCAGCTGGGTGAAACATTTGCTGACACCTTTGTTGTTAGAGAGATGCAAGTCTCTGGGCCCTCCCACGCTTGTTATTCATGCAGAAGAGGACTTTGTGAGGACAGAGCCTGAACACCTCCCAGGCATGTCAATTTGAGAGCAACAGCAGCTACCACTGCTTGGTATTTGCTTGCCTGAAACACATGCAGAAACAATACAATATCCAGCTCTCCTGCATTGCTTTGGTAAGATCTTCTTATGGGCCACTCGCTTCTACTTCAGAAAAGTCACTTCTGTGCATCTCAAATTACAAACAAATCCTCCACATTCAGCAACAGGGAACAGATTTTATTTTATAGCCGGAGGAACAGAGTCCAAAGAGAACTACTGATATTTTAGGGGCCAGAAAAACTTACAAGATCTTTGAAAATGCGTAACCAAATAGAGGTAGAAACAGTCAAAAGTATGCGCTATTCTACAACCATATTCCCTGGGATCTACCCAGGACACCGATGCAAGGAAGCAACCTCCATACTCTCAACTATCTTTCACTCCAACACACACACACACAGAGAGAACAAATCCCCAAGCCCCACACAAACCAATAACAACAAAGAAAAGCAAACAAACCAACCAGGCCTCAGATATTTTCACTCAGACCACAGCCATTCAAAAAGATCATACAGTATTTAATAAAAATATTGTCTTCTATTAACTATTAGTGATATTAAATTGACGCCACTGAACCCCAGACATTGCTACTGCAGGTGTTATCAGGTGTCCCAGGTGAACTAAATCATAATGAGATAAGCAAATAAATTTCAAGGGAAGCTGCCTGAAAATCATTAGCCAGATATTTACAGCATCTTTGAGGTATAAATACAAGATTAATAAAAACATCTATAATCCAGAGTGCAAGCCCTGGACTTTTATCTCTTCAAATACCCATATCATCAATGCACATTAAGTATATGCACTTTAGCAGGAGAATACAAATATAAATTCAAGTTATAGCAAAGGTTCTTTACTAACCTTTAACAGATTTTCTGTGATGAACTCATCTACTCCCTGCATACAGGGATATACAGCACCCAAAGCAGGCTACGGCTGTCAGTGCCACAAGTCTACTCGCACTGCTTGAAATACCCCTTTTATTTTGAGCTTGCCTCCTACTACCTTCCTTTAATGCATCCTTGTTCTTGAACTAGAAGACAGTGAGAAACAATCCCTACACACCCTTTTCCACATGCCTCATGATTTTATAACCTTGCTTCCATGAGCCAAAATCCATCCAGTGGATTAAGGGACTTATCCTTACAACAAGATTATTTTTTTATGACATGTTTTATCAAGTGCTATCCCTCCGCTTTTAAAGATTAGCAAGAGTGAATTAAGCAGGGTCTGTGTGGCTGACCTCTAGCTTTTGTGTCCTTACCTGCTGCTTCAGTAGTGTCAGACACCTGCTGCAATCCTGGCATCAGTCTACTTCTACAGTTCTACGCGGCTCTTCACTTGCGTAAGTCTATGTAAGTCGATCACACTCAAACCCTGAATTCCTGAAGAGACCTGAAGGAGATGGGCCAGAGTTAATCTCGAGTACACTTCAATGAGAAGGGTAAGGATCACTCCTCAGTATGATATGGAAGGATTCTTAATGTCATTTGATAGTAACTCTGCTTGAAAAACAAGATTCAAAGGAACAAGACCTTAGGAAGAATTCAGAGCATGGCTTTAAAAGAAAAAAAAAACAGCATGGCAATTTTCTAACACAGTTTCTTTTCAGCTGCTGAGGAACAATAGCGCTTAAGTATCTGTAAATTTGCTGCCTCTACTTTAAAACACAGAATGGGGTTACTGATGGGCCAAATTTCCTCCTGGTACACAGCACAAAAGCTCCACTTAAGAATTTTGCAGAGATTCACTGTTACTTTTGCAAAGAATACTATGTTAGATATATTGACGTGCTATGAAATGCCAAGTTAAAATGTGCTACAATTGTTAAAATAAATGACCAAGTCCACACAGTATCGACTCAGTACCTTATTTGCTGCCAGTGTTTATCTGCACAAAAACCAAAACCACATTAATCCCATGGGTTGTTCCATTTATTAATGGGCCTTGCATTTTCGCTCACTCGCAGAGACATGCGAGTACTCGAGAACTGCATTTAGTGAAGAGCAATGGTTCAAGTCTAGCATAAGTGATAGATCAAGATACTCCAGCTACTGAAGTCCGGCAGATGCTATTGAAAACTGTACCTGTTATACTTGAAGTGTATAGTTCCGAGAGTTCTATAGAGCTTACTGAAAAGTGGCATAGGATCCTGATGGCAGTGGTTACAGAAAACAACTCTCGCACTGAAGAGCTACTCTTGCAGATGGGTATGCTGTCTTCACAGCCCCGTCAAGTTCACAGAAAAAATACTTACATTTCCATTTACCAGTTGAGATACATATGGACTATGTACTTTGCAGCTAAGCTCATGCAAGATGATACTCTAAACTTACCGGCACCGCAAGTTTTATTATTACAAGCAATACAAAAGCAAACAAAACCACTTTTATCCCACAGCTATCACTGTAAATTGTTACAAGACACATTGTAGATTATTACAAGACACCATTTTTAAATTATGAATTCACAATCTAAGGCAACACAAAAGATGCAAGACATTACATAGGAGCATAGAGCAAGGAAGTAAGATTCTGACAGTAACTGATGATCAGTTATGAGAAATATAGCTGCAATATGCAAGAATTAAATATTGCTTCAATGTAGCCAGCTAAGTTTAAGTACAATTGTGCAAAGTGAGGCATAATTCTTTTGTGATCATTAATTTTTTTTTCATTAAAGTAACCATGATAGCAACCATTCATACTTACAGAAATATTTTTGATTACGATAATTTATTAAGGAACCTGACACTTAAAAACCTTCAGAAAATAGAATCAAATTCAAGTTATACATTTACAGGCATGAAAGGACAAAAGCGTAGTATCACTTTTGCTATAAATAAGGAATTTTAGACCAAGATTTTTAAAGATAGTGATTCCAAAAGTGTCTGCTTCCAAATGAATTCAGTCCATTAGTTCTACTCCAATTTCTGCAAGGCTTACCCCAGGCCAAGAATTCCCTGCAAAATTCATTTGTAAGAAGTTATAAGAAATATCACATGTCATCTGACAGAAGAGATGTCTACACAGGCAAATGACTATGTTCAAATGCACAGAGCCCTTTTTTTAAAAAAATACAAATTCTGGACTGGCTGGGAAATCTTGACACATACAGTAGATCCTTGTCAGTGGATACTGAACACAAAATAAAGGGGGTCACGCTCTATCACCTACAAAGGGCTGGTTTAAATCAAGAATTTGAAAGGTTTCATATTGCAAGATCTTCGTTACAAAATGCCAGTGATTATTGCAGTTAAGTTAAATGCAAAAATAAAGCATACTAAATAACCCGAGGCACATTTTTCAATGCAGTATATTTATCTCTCTCCTCTATTGGAAGTTCATTTTTTTCTAGCATCACTGATCTTAGTAACTCATTTAAATGGTCAAAGCTCTCCCGTATACTTAAATGCAAAACAAATCATAGCTTCAGACGAGTGTTTATCAGAGTGCTCCAACTGCTCAAGAGTCACCACATTTTAAAACCTTGCTCATGAGATGCTGATATTCATTTTACAGGAAGGAGCTGAAAAGACATCACACAGTCTATAAGCCAGCTGGAGGGGGCCATCCAGACTTTGCCCCGACGAATTTTCTCCGGCTTAAATTTAGAAGACACATCGTAGATTACATACTGAGTGCAAAATCTCTGGTCAGAAGTAGGTTCTGCATGGTATGCCACCGTGTTGATTGTCTGCGTCACATCACTGTCTGGTTTGGGCTGCCTAACCAGAATTTGTCCTCCTGCTGCTTTGACCAGCTCCACAAGATCACTCTTCTGGTGATGGCTGAAAGATCCCCAAAAATAGAAGTAGCATCCATCAAACAACTTAGGCAGCTAAATGTAAGGGGGAAAAAAAAAAAGTATAAATACAGGACTTCACAACTGAGCACACAGAAAAAAGGTGGAAAGGAACAATTTTACTTGTGCCTACAAAAAAAATGCAATTTAAAATAAGCAACACTAGAAAGTAGAACAGTAACTTAAACATGTAAGGTCCTCAGTAAAAGTAGGCAATTAAGAAAAGCTTATGTGGAAAATTCTTGCTTATGTTTAAATATTTTCCAGGACAACAGGATTTGAAATATGAGCTAGGAATATTTACAGCTACTGTTACAATATATATTTAATTAATTTCTCCAGTGTAATCCAGAAAGTAATCAGAAATTAACCCAGGTAAATACAGAACTGGCCCTATATGGAAAGAAGAAGAGATGAAAACACTTCTTTCTTTCAACTTTCAGATAATTTTGACTAGCTTCTAAAGATGAGGAGGGAAGGCCAAAGCAGCATCACTTCCTGTCCCATACGGCTTCTTCCACAAATGTAATAGAGCCTTCCCTCTGACAAGGTTATAGCAACATATCCACTAATAGAGAAAAATGACAGCTTTATGGGTGTTCGCAGTTCTTTCGATCACCTTGCGCATAATCAAATTTCTGTACAAGACCACATTAAAATTTTACATCGACTGCACATGTGGCAAAGGGCAAAAATGCATGAACCAAAGGTCATTAAGATAATCTGTCTCAAGCAATAAAACCCACCAGCTGTTCTCTGTTGAGCCGGCCTCTTTGTGGGCCACCTTGGATTTCATACTTCTCTTCTTGTTCTCGCACTGTGGTTTGCAGACATGCCTGTACCCCTACAAAAGCCGCAATAACGAAGGCAAAAATTAGAGATCCCATGTCTTAACAGAGGCTTGCAGGTCATTTTAGGGACTGAAGAGTTGCACTAAAATAAAAGCATTACCCACGATGTAAAACACAGCATTAAAGCTTGTGTGCTTTAGCAATTTGCCTTTAAACTTGAAAGACTTTACAACAGTGGTTGAAGATGCAAGTTAGATGGAGAGAAGCAGTATCACTAAAATCAGTGCTGTAAACACTAGGCATTATTAGCTTTTCCTCTTACCCACTAAAGGTCAACCACTTAATGTCAAATGTCAAATTGTTGATCGTTTGGAAGCCTGAAGCCAGCGTGTAGAACCAACTCTGCAGTTATGAAATGGAAGCAATTGCCTGATAAAGAGCAATTACAAAGCAAGCACAAAGCTGTTTCCGAACAGCTATGGCCTCAAATAACAAATCAGATGGGATTTCAAGGTCTCCAAGATCAGCACAAACTGGAGATTTATGCTAGGGTTTAACAGTGGCATTCATTTGTGTTACCACTGCTGCATAATGAGATTGTCTTTTAGAGTCAACGTGTTTTTACCTTGTTTTAAGGCTAGTTATTTTTTCCAATACGGAATGCGGTGATGCTAACGTATCGCTAACGTCAGTTAAATGTACTACCTGACCCCACTTTGGAAAGAGAAATTGCTGTGGTCACCCATTCAAGGATGGAACATTTTGCCTGCACATACACTGCACTCATTAATAAAAATTACCCAGGAAAGTTCGCAAAGCTGATTTTGAAAACTGTTCCATGAGGATTTACAGTGTTGTCAAGGTTGTAACTTTTAAAGTAGTACCTCACTCCTTGCACAGCATTTCTTATTCAGGCACCTTAATTTCCACCGTGCAAATATGAAACCCACAGTATCTAAAGAAAATACAAACTGAACAAAATCAGAAGTAAAATGGGGGGGGGGCCTTGCTCTTAAAAAAGAAGAAAGCCCAAGACTATTAAGAGAAGTATCACTGCAAAGGTACTTGGATACCATGGCAATAAGTAGCCAATAGGCATATCTAATCTAGAGATCTTGAAAGCCAACTGTTAGTAATTTACTACTGGTTCAAACAAACTCACAAAATGCAATGGGAATTCATATTTTAGCTACTAGAAGTCCTCCGATATACTTACATGAAAAAGGAGAAACCTATACAGACAGAAAACCACAACTGGCTGAATACTATAGCAAATATCTCCCTCCATGTACAAGTATCAGATTGATTATTTCCACTTGTTCATTCCTTCAAAGAAAATTAACATGAACTAGAAGGGCAACCTAGTCATGTATTTTCCGGAAAAGCAATTTACATATTCATTATTGATAACAGCAATGAATATTGATAACTTATTTTCAAAGTACTCATAACTCAAAAATAAATCTTAGAGTTATTTCTTTTTTTTTTTTAAATCATCACAACTCAACAAGATTTCCCATGTCCATTTGCCACTTACATGGCTACTCTTCCAAGAAAATACAGATGTTAATGTGTGCCACTTACAATAAAGGAAAAACCATCTCATCTAGTCTTAGGAACAGAACCATCCATTCATTAAGAGCAGGTTTTACTTCAATCTACCATCAAAAGCTCAATTTCAAGGACTTTCACTACAGAGCTGACATTTTTATACAATAAGTACATCACAAATTGAGCATCCAGCATTCATCAGTAAATGAAGCAAATGTGATACGAAAGTAATAAAAGGTTGAAAAGAACACAAAATACTACAATGTCTTTTTGTACTGCTACCTGCCTGAAAAAAAAAATTAGGTCAAGAAGGTGACTAATGTTAATGAAATGTCTGTATTAGAAAATGCAAAGTAGGTTATGTCTGTTTCGCATACATATGTCTGTCCATTTCACACTGTCACATCCTCCAAGCAATCTGTATGCTTAGAGTTCCTTGTCACACCTAAGGACAATCCTCCAAGAGACCAAGAAGAGAAACTCAGCTACATGTGTCCTCCTTTCATTGTATCTATAAGAACCACAAGATAAACATTTGTTTCCTTGAAAAAATGAAAATATGCAAACAGGCCATTTGTCTAGACAGTGTCTGCATGATCAGCATTCTCATTAATTTTAACTTTTCTTAACCAGCTAGAATCAGAACAGATCTCTGACACAAAAGCTATGTATTCCAGACAGAATAAAAAGCCAGGTACATAAGTTCTCAGTGCCCAGGTGTTTTCCTTTAACATAAATATGCTAAAAAGCAACACCACTAGGCCTACACACACCCCTCTTTGTGGAACAACAGATTATGTTTTTTCATGACAGAAAAATGGTACAATTCCCAAATATATTTTTCATGCAAGATGTAGAAGCAGAACTTGCTCTGACTCACAGGTCTTGTCATATTTGATAGAACGGAACAAACGTTTTTTTTTTTTGGAACCATTGTGCTCAGGGACATTTCAAGCAGTCTCATCTAACACTTTGTCTACGTGCAGGTAGCAAAAGAGCAAAGTCAGTCACTGGAATCCTCAAGCTTAGAAGAGGTGATGCTTCAGGCTTCACCATACTTCATGGCAATCTTACCATCCACAGCACAACTAATCCATAGCCGGAGTATCACCCAGAAAGAGACAACACAGACAGGGTAACAGCGAAAGGAGTGTCTTACGCAGAAGAAACTGAGACAGGCGGCATGTCATGTGTCAGTCATGGTGAGCTATACATCCAGAAAACTGATGCAGTTAGCAACCAATGTTTGAGGAAGGTGCTTACAACCCTAAGGTGAACAGTCAAGGGATCCGTATTGATGGAGGAAGGCTTCTTAACTAGAAAAAGGAGGCTAAAATAACTTAAGTGAGAGAGACCGCTATGTCCTTTAACTGCAGACAGTGTTCACACTGATTTCTTCCCAAGTTGGTCATTTCTCTTCAGTGACTCCTGAATACTAGGAAGAGATTTTGTATTAAAGAATTCATACACCACAATGAAAAAATAAATCAGTGAAACAAAAAAGGGAAATGTCCCGCTGTTTTCATTTTTGAGATAAAATGCCAGAGGGCTCAAGCCGTGTTTCTACCTAATTCATTATGCGTTTGTCTAAACAAAAAGCTTTTTATTTGCCGAATCTTCTTCCCCCTCTCTACACAAAACTTAGTGTCAAGTCACTTGCTTCTAGATCACTCATTCTGCATTATCATTTTCAGATGCATGGACTCCAGCTGGATGCTCATTTGCGTTACAGTGTCATTTGGAAACACCAGACATGTACTAGCTTTACCATCCTTCTAATAGATGGTACAACAACCACAAGATGATCTTGTGCTAAAAAATCCCCTCAATTTCACACTTAAGACTAGGGATACAAACAGAAGATTAGAGCACACTGTAGGCTCTTCCAACTTCCCCCCCTCCCCCCCTTTATTTTTTTAAAACAGCTAGGGATTTTATTTTGACAACTGAGTGCTAAGCTGAGTTCACTCAGTAAAGCTCGGGTATTTTTCTTGAGTAGGCATTATTAATTTTAAAGCTGCTAATGTGTGTAAGTGGCTGGATAACATGACAGTTCCCTTTTAATAGTCTCTCCATTCAATATAGTGTCATCCTGATTAAGAGAACATATAAAAGGAAATGAAATTCCATACTGTACTCAAAAGTATATCACTCCCCCACTTCTCAGGGACATTTCCAGAAGCTCTGTTGACCTTACAGCACTCCTATTTAAGTCAGAAGTATAGCGCCCTTTGACCTCAAACAGGAGCCATCTTAAATTGATTCCCAGAACTCCTGAGATTACGGACTCTTATTTGTTTGGCACTATACTGAAAAGCCACCAGTGAGAAACTGATGCCAAGACACTGGCCAAATGAATGGACTGAAAAAGCTAATTGCTATTATCCTAATTAAAAACCAATCAGGACACCATCAGTAGTATGCCACCCTCCTTTCTGAAATCAAGACGGACATCTTCAGTACTTATGCAAAAAAGATTTCAGAACAGGACTGTATCCAAAAAGCTTGAAGAAGCTCTCTGAAAATGGAGGGGAAAGTAAACTTACTTTTGAGAGGACACCTGCAATTTGAGGAGGTAGAGATCACGGTTAAGTTGCTTTCATTCTCACATTCGCAGCGTGTGCATTCTCTACAGGCAAGCCTGTCTAAAAATCTAGTCTGTTCTGTTATAAAATAAAGACCATTCAATTTACTGGGGATCTTGGCTAATCTTAATTTAGTCCTTGATACGATTGCCAGAAAAAGCTGTGGACCTTCTAGGTTTGAGGTTGATCGAATTTATTTGTTTAACATGTTCTCTTCCCTAAAGAAAAGAGGGCGATTACTGCAACTATGCTTTAACAGCCCTCTAGTTTAATCACAGTAGTTGGATCAATTACCTGCAAAAGGATAAGACTTGTACCAAGGCAAGCGGCATTGTTCCATTTCACATGGACCAGAGTAGTTTTGCAGTGCCCAGTTCAAGTGTGCAAGCACTCATTAATAAAGCCTGCCTGACAGAAGACCATTCTGGGGCAAGATCGCATATGCGGAGGGGTCATGCAAGGTTCTTCCCTAGAAATACAGAACATTAGAAGGTTAAAAGCCTCTTAAATAGCTGATTTCACACTTGCAATCTGTAGATATAAACAAGACCATTTGCACCAAATTCTAGTAAAAATTGGCCTGCGATGAAGTCCCTAGAAAATATCGCAGAAAAAGGTTTTAGCTTAATACAACCGCATTTTAGCTTGATGCCACCACATTTGGCAAGAACACTGCTCATTTTTTTCCCCTCATTAGCAAGATCAGTAAAGCATCACTACTTACACTGATCCATATTCCCTCACTGATCAGCTGCCCCTACCTTTTCACCTTCCAGTATATAAGGAGCAAGCAGGTTAAAAGGGTGCCCACTCTAACAGTATTGTTAATTGACCTTTGATACAACTATAGCTACTAGTACTAGAAATAAAGAAATCATTATTTGCAAAATTTAAGATCAGAGCCCTATAATCCTTAT